ATGACTGTGGATGTAAAAGTGTCATTTGGGTTTTGTACATGTCAACTAGTTTGCAGAGTTTGTTGATTACAGGCAAGATAAAAGTCCTTCTTTGATCAGAATGTAACTGAAGAGGCACTCCAAACTTGGGAATCCAAAGCTGTATCATTACCTCTGCTAACGTGACAGTTTACAAATAGACAGAATAGAGATAGAATATGCTTCAGGCCCCTTGCAAAAGTAAACAATGACAAAGAAGATGTGTTTGTAGCCATCAACAGTTCATGGCAAAGGTCCCATCATGTCAAATGCAATGTGTTCAAAAGGCACTCCTACACTGTAAAGTTACAAATTCCTTCGGTTGAGTTTTTTCTGTCATTTCCAGCCAACACAGGCATCACAATATTGGCACCACTTTTCTACATCAGCCCTTGCTTTACTCCAACAGAAGCGTTTTCTGAACTAAGTCTTCCTTATTCTGAAGTAGTGTCTGTCAAACTGCTATACAGCTCTTTAAAGATGTCTGAGATCAGAGATCTTGGATGTAACATCTGCCACTGGAATACCTTTTCATCCATTTCAAACTTCCAATAAAAGACACCATTTCAAATGTGAAGCGAGTCCCAGGCAACCCAATATTGTTTTGTAATACGAATATAGATCAATATGCTCTGTTATGTAGGTTTTCTACCTGATGAAACTGACTCCATTAAGTCAATTTTTAGTTTCATGTTGTCATCTTCCAACTGGTCTTATTCGACTTATTTGTCACTCCTTGGATCTGGGTCAGACAATACTGAATTTGTAATTTGACATACTACCAGATTAACCAGCTCGTATTTTGCATCAACCTCGAATGAATACTGGCAGCTTTCTGAGCAGTCGACGTTTCCACGTGCCGATCCTTTCTGATGATGAACAGTGATATCATGTTCCTGAAGTCTCTGGGTATTTGGCCTTCAGTATTCTTGAAATTTTAGAGCCAGGTCAATGATGCATGATCTTTGGGAAGCAGGCATTTTCTACCATAGAGAATTTTATGGTGTAAAGTGCTTTCTAGATCCTTGAAATCATCATTCACAGGGCTTTCTGTATCTCAGGATCCTGAATGCCATCGATGAAGTATTGCAGGGACCAGATTTCCCTTGTTTCTGTTGTAAAGTCAGAAAAGATGCAACGAGACAAGACTTTCAGCATCCATAGTGAGCTTCATGAATGTTTCCGTTGGCGAGATTTTAACTGACACTGCTATAAAATACTTCTCACAAAAGCATAGTTCCAACATGAAGGGTACAGCTTCGAAGTCTAGCCTCTGGTTTCCAGGCAGAGTTTGAAGGATATCTGCTGTCAAAGAAGCAGCAAGATGGCAGGCATTAGTTGCAGAATCCCATTTATTTGTGTCCGCCAATATAGAGTACTGAACCATGCACATCTGTCACGAGGTCTTTCCATTATTCATGAATACCTTTAGAGAGGGTCAAGAAGATGTATTACAAATCTAAAGACACCAAAACTGTGTCCAACTTGCACTATACATTTCTTCAAGTTGTCAACTTCCTTGGCAAAAGCAACAAAAAACTTTGCCATCAATTTTTTCCTTCAATTTCAGAACCTCTCTATTCAATTTGTTGTTCAATACCAGACATTCTTTCTTTGCTTTCTCCAATTTTTATTTTCAACTGTGTCTATTCTGCTTTTCATAGACTCCAAATTGTTTTCTATTATGGCAGTAATTTCTCTTTTCACTTCCACTTGACCTGCTTCAACCTATTCTTGAATAACTTTCATTTTTCTTTAATGGATACTTGGCCTGATTCCACCTCTTCTTTAACAGACTTGACAGCCTTTCCAACATTTCCTGCCTCACTTTCACTTCCTTTAGGAGTGCAGCAAATGATGTCACCAGCTGTAGATGCTTCTCCATTATTCTTGTCACCGGCATTCAATCTCACTTCTCAGGGTTCATAGCCACATTTCAGTTAAAAAAATAAGCACCTATAAGCACTTTTCAAGCACATTTTAAGGAAAAAATAAGCACCTGTCTAATTACATTATACAACTGCATAATGCATAACTTTAAAAGAAAAATTAGACTTGTAATTTAAAATATGAGCAACGCAATATTTATTAAGAGAATGAGCATTACCTCAACAATGGAAAACAATTAACTTTTTTTTTAATTTTAAATGACAGTTCCATTTACAGAATTAGTTTTACAATGAGAGAAAAAAAAAACTCTGCAGAAATAAAATATATTACAAAATTTAATGATGATATTTCAGTTGAAAATGTAGAAAATAAATAATAATAAGCCATATTAATTGTACATTAATAAGCCATATTAATTTCGTTTGGCACCTAATAATAAATACAATTTATTTTTCCACTCATATTAATATTTAAAGAATTTAACTTAAATCAAAATTCTGAACATTTTCTAAATTTTCATTGCATAACAGTTTTCCCTTAACATATATCCCAAGCAAAGTAATTTAAGTAAAAAAGAGGCACATTTCTGAAATCAGAAGACGGGAAATTGCTTCAGTCAGTCATCCTTTAACAGTAAAAGCTTAACTAACCAGCATACTCGGAAATTCCCGAATTTTCCGGATAGTAACTGGAAAAAGAGGAGTGGGGGAGGTTCTTTAGATTTAAATTTAGGCTAAATAAATGATTTTGACATTTCGATATGTGCATCATATAAAAACCAACGGAACTGAGAAATATTCTGCTTAGAAAGCACAGTAAAACTTTTTTAAGTGTTCAGAAACAAATCTCAGACTGAACATCAAAATTAATTATCAATGCAAAATACCGCAAACCTTATTGCGCGATACGTGCGGCATAATTCTTCCATATGTGATATTACGCAATTGGAATTAACACCTGTCGGTATTCGGAGAAAGAAGAACTAAATAAAGGAAAAGAAAGACTTACTAATCTGGGGTGTTTCTGATTCTAATTTTCAACAGACTGTATTAAATTTCCAGAATAGAATCAATCTTCGCTTGGGTTGGGTAGACCGCAAAAACTTTTAGTCCTATTCAATCCAGATTGGACAGTGACAAAAAAAAAGTCTGCTGCTTCAATATTAGAGATTTTGCGGAGAAACTCCCAACCTCCGTACTGTATAACGTATTGGCAAAGAAAATGAAATTATTTTGACTATTCGATTACTTTCCTTTTATTTAAGCCATTCCGAATATTATTCCTTAGAAAGCTAATCTGTGTAAAAACACACCCATTTTTGGAAGTTTATCTATACTTCAGCAGTTACTGCAATTATATTATTATAAATATTCATAAATATGCTCATAATATAAGCATAAGGATCATAATAAACACGAATATGAACTGACCACGCGGAACGAGAATGCAAATTTATTAAAATCTTGATAGAAATTCAAACGTGTGTAGTATTTGTGTGGGAGGAAAAGAATACCGAATGTACCAGAATTTTCTACGTTTTCGCAATTCTTTGGCCAATAGAACGACGTGCACCTGTCTGTACTCTCGCACGCACCATAGGTGACCTTAATGCAGAGGAAGGGGGGAAAAGCAATTTTAGGGAGTATGATTCACCATCTGACGTTGCATATAAGGAAAAAAAGTTGTTTATTTAGTTTCGGCTTTGGTACGGGGAAAAAATGCGCGTTCATTAAAAACAAAAGATTAAAAAAAAGTACTAAAAGCAAAAAATAAGCACTAAAAACAAAAAAAAAAATAAGGGCTTTAAAGAAAAAGTAAGCACCTATAAGCACCTTTATATTTTATTTTCAAATATAAGGACTTATAAGCACTTGTAAGGACCACTACGAACCCTGCTTCTGACGCAAAAAATTACTACATGTGTACGTGTTCATAATAAATAGAATGCACACAGAACCAAGACAACTTGATGAAATTTATTTTCAAAAAATAAATAAATAAAAACTCTGTACAGTTCTGGAACTTTTCACACAGTACTCACTCAGCTTTTCTCGCGGTACAACAAAGCACAATGAGTAGTTACCACTACAAACTACTGAGAATGTTGAACGCAAGACAATGCAAAGTGCATCTAAATCAATCTGGCAGACAGATCTCTCAGTACTCTGAACTCAACTGAAAACTGATGCTCTCTCTGGTTTTGTATAGTTTTCCTCTATCCACCGAGAAATTTCCAGTACCATCAATTTCTCAAAATTGCAGGAAGGCATGCACAGTTATAGTTACACTAGGGCCAGATACAGTAACTGTTATATAAGTGTCGGACCAGTTAGTTATACAGGGATCAAACCAAAATATCACTAAATGGTTGCCAAGCTTGACAACTTTGGGCAGTTTTTTGTCAAATTTGGTAATAAAATTAGTTACCTCTGAACTCTATTTTTCCAGCAGTACTTCTTATTTTGAAGCTTTTCATACTACATGTACACGAGATACTACAGTTTACATATAATTTCACTAACATTATTTACATGTACACAAATTTCAAAACAGTATACTTATAAGTAAATATAGCTTGAGATCCAATTGTAAAAGAAGCATGTCAATGTAAAATTCAAATAGCTTGCGATGTTTTTTAATGTATGCTGAATTGCAATTTATTATTTTATACAACATTTCAATAAAATACAGAAATGGGCATTTTGTGTTTTTATCTTATTACAAAATGGTTCAAAAATGCAATATCAACAGGGATTGAGTTAGAGCAAAACTCATTTTTATTTTCCAGCCACATGTTAGATCTATTATTTATATTAATTAAGTGACCATGAAACTAATGTTAAATTTATTTTCAGCATTTTGCAGTTTAATCATTTACTCCAAAGAATACATTACTAAAAATGAAATGAAAGAATGACTGCAAGACTCTTATTCAGATTACATTATTTATAAAACACTCAATATAAATACTCATGTTAAAGGAACATAAATATAATCAAAAAATGAAAAAGAATTAAAAATTCCTCAACATTATGTGAACCTTGTTGTACTTCAAGTAACTAAAAAATGTCAGAAATATGAAAATTACTTACATAACCTTCAGGATGAAGTTTAATAAGAAATTTCCGTCGTTTGAAACTTATTTTTCTAATTTTAGCCCAAGAAAAGGTATTTATCTTCGTATAGTTTTGGAAGACCAAGACACCCATGTGAGCAGCAGCAAGATTCAAAGGAACTCCTTCACTATCCTAAAATGAACACAAGATTTAAAACACAACATTATGAGGAAAGTCTGATTTATTTATTAAAATCAGAAAATTATTTCATTGAGACTATAAAAATACAATGTAAATACCAGAAGGTGGTGTGGTGTGGTGTATTTAATTATGGCAAAGCATACTAGGGCTATCTGCCTAAGGGGAGGGATGCCTTTCGTGGAGGACTTTCTAAGGGAAACTGGCTCGTATACACGTTACACATGGGGAAAACCACGAAAACGCCCATGCAGCCAGCCCGTTCGCGGGATTCGAACCTCGGACCGAACTACCAGTGTTCAGCGACTTTACCGCTCGGCCGCTGGTGGGCTTAAATACCAGAAGGATAGATAACATATGAAATAATATAGTTAATAATATACAAAGGTAAAATTTAATAATTCTCAGTTTTCAACAAGAAAGTAAAACAAAAGAAAGAAGATACATTAGTGGAAATGTTTTATTCAAGAAATCAAATATTAAAAAGAAAAACTGAAACTATAACATTAAATATAATACATAAGTAATCTGTGACATCATTATGTAACATTTAAATTTTACAGGGGTAGCAACTTCCATTGCCTAGGTGCCAAAACAGACCTTCCTTTCAATATTTTGTATATCTTGACCATAGTTCTGAGCATAGCAAACACACGAAAACCCATACAAGACGATCAAAGAGCTGAAGCCATCAATTCAAAATTCAGCCAACGAAGCAGACGGGTCATTTGTGAAAGCTCAGCTAACTTAAATTCCATTTTTTTAAATGTGGTTCTGATGTGTTGAACTAAAGTTTTATCTTAGTTTAACAATGTAAGCTACTCGATTCCTAAAAGGCTTGAAAACCCTTTCCTACCTGAGAATTGGCAACATTTAAAATCTGTCAATTTACCGGGTGATGAAAATATTGTCCTAATAACAGATCCTCATACCTCACTTAAAAGTTGCAGTTAAAGAGAATGTCTAAATCTTACTCTTCCCTCTAAACTGTATATCCATCATTTAGCCAATGTATATCAGAGTGCTGTGTATGCTGACCTTTCTAAAATTTTCAGAAAAATTTATAGAACATTAAAAAATTTTTGTAATATTTCAAAAAACAGTTTGTTGTTTACAGAACTGTAAGGTTATGAAAGGACATGCATGCAAATATTTCAAAACACACATAATTTATGGCTCAGTTACCATATTTTATGATGATGCTGATAGTTATGAATTTGAATGTCATAATTTATGGCTCAGTTACCATATTTTATGATGATGCTGATAGTTATGAATTTGAATGTTTCTTGATATCAAAAACAAAAAGCTTAATTTTCCAATTAATGGAATTTCTGAAGAAATGCCGAGAAGTGACAATCAATCATAATGTAACAGAAATTTCTCACTGCGATGTCAAAAGTCGCAATCATCAATCAACTAATGGATGGATGGTTAAATTTGTAATGGTTTTAAATCCACAAAATATCGCCACTCGCTGAACAGACTGAAAAAGGGTTTTTTAAGAATGAAAAAATTTCAATTCACAGATTAGCAAGAATTTTTGATAAGGAAGAAAAAAAACAGTTCTTGAATGGTAGAAATTCGGAAAATTGTGTCTATCCAAATTTAAAACGAAAGTACATTCATTTTAAATTTACATGGGCAAAATTTATATGTATATTCTTTCAATGTTAGTAAACAACTTACACTGAAAGAAATGTTTAACAAAACAAACAAATATATATATTGAGTTTCTTTTGTAAATTTTGATTCCATTAAAGCCATAAAAACTTCATTATTTCACAGACAACTAATTTTTATCTAACACTTTTATATTTGATAATTTTTACATGTAATTTACTAGATTTAAACTGATTATCTAAAATCTAGCAATTTCTGAAATACGGAATAGAAGTCCTGACCATTCCAGATCTCAGACTTTGTACTGAATTACATTTCTAGTTAAAACTATTATAATGTAAACAATCACAACAAAAAGCATAAAACTATAAAATACTAGTGATAAATGCTTATTGTTTCAAGTCAATGCAAACATACCTGTGCTCAGATTATTAACACAGTTATTTTTCTCGGTGCATTTTCACCAGTGTCGCAAAATTGTTGTAAACACAACTTTGTTGCTAGATAGAAACAATTATATGCCTATATTCAGGAAGTAAAACCTGATATGAAAGCTGGAAAAGAGTTAGCATTATGCCATAAAAAGGGGGAAGCAAATTGAACAAACTGCAACTTGCTGGGTATATTCAGGGCATCCAACTGAATCTTATAAGGGAAGCCACTGACCTGCCAGTAATAACTACTACAAAAATTTCATGGATGGGCAACTATGCAAACAAATTAATAAGTTCTTTGTTTAAAATGTGATAAGAAATTATTTTAGATGCTTTCTTTGTAATTTATTTATTCCACCCCAATTTTTTTTCACTTTAAATCTCATAATTTTCCATTTATAACAAAATCTGCCGCATTTCTGGTCCCAAACTGTGATAAAATGACTTTCTTTTCCTTGGCCACAGCAAATCCTAGATAAATGAAACCATAAATGCCATAACAACAGATATGGGGAAACAACTGCTCTTCTTATCCTATTTTTACATTTCATTATCAGTTCCCTTAGAATTACAAATTTCACTCTAAAGAATAAAATAATTAAATGCATAGAAAGCAAAAATCTGAAAGATTTCAGATTTTATATTATGCCCAAATGGGTGTTTTTTTTTTTTTTTTTTTTCCCATTTTGTGAGTTACCTTATTAAATATCACGTTCTTTTGCATCATTTAGTTCTTTTGCACTTAAACCATAAAATTCAACAGCAATATCACAAAATATTTAAAAAAGCATATCTTTATAATTTTCAATACACAGTCTCATGTGCTGGAGATAATTTTTTCCCATGCATTGTTGCCCTTTACTCACTTTGAAATCGTTCAGTTTGTTAATAAAAATTTTTTTAATGTTTGACAATATATGAATTATAGATAACAAGACAAATTCCAAATTTAGGCTTCTAGATGCCCATATTCGTATTGAGGACTACGATATTCAAAATTTGATGTCCCTAGGTACTGTTGTTTTTTAACAGTGTGCGAAACATACATACATTCATGAAGATTCTTCATTATTTAATTTCTTTAAATAAAATGCAGGACTCTAATATTTGGTGACAATTTGAAAAGCGAACCGATGCAAAATGCCAAAATGAAATTAATAGCCCTTCTGGGCAAATTGCCCCTTTGGGCTAAAAATGCAATAAATGACCACAAATCAGTGCTCAAAATAAGCAACAAACAAAATTACCACCAAAAAACAATAATAAATAAATAAAGCAAATACAACATAAAATGCAATACACAACATATTAAAAAACACAAATACATTTCATTACAATATAACCTCACCTTCGCAGGAGTCATTTTTATCCCATACAGCTCACATCGCCTGGCAGTCTCCAACAAATTGAGATCAGCTTCAGCTGGTGACTGTCCACTAGTGAATAAAAACCATCTAATAGAAACTAGATCTGAATACAATTATTATCATCATGAACTCTTTATGAACAGTAGTATCATGAATTAAGGATTTTAAAAAACAAGAAAATTATTTTACTAACAATTGCAATGCCTTCACACAAATATTTATTACCTCTTCTCCAGAAATACTCATGCAGTCAAATCCTGATTTTACATCAACAAATGTGTACTTTATGATGAAGTGAACTATATTTCCAGCAACCCTTTATATGTATAATTAGGTTCTCTTGCAGATTTCATTAGATGATAATTTATATTCACTTGCTCATTCAGTTGGTAAAAAAAGATTAAAGTTTAGAATTTGCAATTAACAGATAATGATGCAAGTCATTCTCACCAACACAAAATCATACTACTAAAAAAAAGAGCAAAAATGGCTACAACATAGTTTTGTTTTGGAAACAGAGTGTTAATAATTTTAACCAGCTGAATAAAATTAATGATTTAAATCATGATGTTAATCAGTTTTCTTAATGATCAGAATGTGTTAAAATCAAAGATCCATCTTTTATAAATATTTTAATCACTGAATACCAAAAATAAAAGCATTTAAAGAACTAAAACTAAATTTGTTTAAAATATTTTAAACAAACCATACTAGTACAATACAAGAAACCGTATCACTTCCATCTCCATATAGTTTCAGGCAAAAATCTGATGATGGATGTATGATTTATGCAAATATATTACAAAAATCATCATCTCAAAAATCTACAATAAATCCTTCAGTACACAAACTTTTTATATCTCAAATGTATCATTTTGTAGTGCAAAAGACACCCTCATTTCAAAAAATTAGTGAAGATGCTGCCTCCATTTAAAACTGAAAATTATTAAATGATACATATGAAGAATAAATATAAAAAATACAGCAATGCATTAGCTAATTAAACAGCATGTAAGATGGCAGAGGGTTTGTCTAATATCCACAATTATTCATTAATCTATTACAATAGATTGAAGCATTCAATAGTGAAACTTATTGATTCATCATTAAAATGACATACAAATAAAAATTTACTTATCCTTGCTCTTAAAACCATTAAAGTTAACCACAAATTTAAATGTAAAATTTGCAGTTTTGTAACTGATAATACAGCAAATATGGAAAAAACGAGAAAAAGTAATATAATTTTCAGATTATATCTCACAGTTGTTCAGCATGTATAATTCACTTACTGATCACAACTTTAAATATATCAAATGTTACTCAGCATGTTATTCAAATCATAAAATATTTTTGAAATCACCCCCCTACTTAATCCAAATTTAATACATGCTATGATACAGATTTAAATATACTGTCTGAAATATGTTCGAATTCAGTATGTAACTAACTCCCTTGAAAGCTGTATTAAATGTGGCCAATTAGCATTAAAGATCTGGCCAATTTTCATGGAACTTGCAGAAGAGAACTGAGATGTAATAGACAAAAATAGTCAGTCTGGAAGCTCTTAATATGGCAATCAAATGAAATGTAAAAGACCTCTTACTTTATTCAAAGCCAGTTTCAGATGCTTTGGATAAAATTTGAAAGAAAAACTGCAGCACTGCTGAAGCTGTTAAAATTTGGAAAGAATGTTGAAAACTGCTGGAAAATCTTAACACACATAAAATTATTTAAAATACGATACAAACAAGCACTGTCAAAAGCACATTGTTTAGCACATATTTGATCACCAAAATACAAAGTTCAAGCTTTACTAGCAATGAAGACGCTTTTTTCAGCATTATATTGAAATTTATAATTCATACTCCATTGTTCTATGAAACCCATTTTGAAAATGAGTTGAATGAATGATCACATTTAAGAAGCAGAAATCAACCTTGTGAAAGAATGCAAAAGGAAAAAAGAACTGGATGTCACTGAATTGACATGAAAGCGAGAACTTTAAGCAGTAGAGATTGAAAAATTGTTTTCTTCTTCTGGAATTGCACTCAACATACTGTGAAATCAAGAGTGAAGAGGCAGAAAAAATGTTTTTTGTCTAAGAGCTCAATAAAAATGATAATAATGCAAATATGTGATAAAATGTTTTGAAAAAATTATAAGTACCATTTTAATGGTTATATTTATTCAGATTTTTTATTTATGTTTTCAAAAATATTCATAAAAGAATTCATATTCATTCATATTATGTTTTCAAAAATATTCATTCATATTTTCAAAAATATTCATTTCATAAAAAGTATGACAAGAAAATATTTTTTATTTCCTAGAATGCACATGTGTGTATATTGCATTTGATTAAAGTGATTTACAATTTACTAATTGCAAAGATATTAACTAATCTTACAAAGCAGCTATCATATTGTTTCTTATGTTGCTAATTAATAACACTATGTACGAATTATATTACTTTACTTATCGATTATTGCATAGTTTACATAAAAACATATGTTATGCTTCTTAATGTTACCTAATTAGCGATATAATTAAAATACATTAAAAATCTTCAATGTACGATAACCATTTAATATGTTTAAGAAGGAAAGAAACATTTTTTGTTTTTAATTCTTTAATTTTTTACAGCCTGATCTGAAATCAGATCAACAATCCTAGACACAATGGAGAATTTCTGACTCTCACAAATGATTCAGAATTCAATTCAATTAAGGTAACCCAAAAAGTAACTGAATCCATTTAGTAACATGACAATTTGTGCCAAACAATTTTCTCTAGACAGATATGTGCAGCAACGTACACTACCCAGCAAGAAAATATACTTTTAACATCAGCTCTCTTCAGCTGCAATAACATGTTTCTAAACATAAGAAATATATCTCTTCCGTTATAAAAGGTAGTCATAAAAAAACTTCCCCAATATATATGAACCCCTAGTGGCCTACCTGTTCAACCAATCGAAGCAAAATTTCATGTACTGTTATTTGAGGGTACACTTGAGATTGTGATGATTTAAAAAAAAAAAATCTGATGTGTACACCACATGACTTTTTTGTACGGAATATTAAATTATACGCATTTTCCCCTGCATTTAATTTAAACTTATTGAACTGAATTTATCTACTTCGTCAATAGCGCATAAACTACAATAAACGCACTCTTTAAAAAATTCACTATATTTATTTACCACAGTAACACTCTGGCGCTAGGTTCACTTAACAGCATTACATCTAATTTATTTTATAACTCAGAATACACAAAACTTAAATCATATGAAGAATTGTCTAATTGTTGCCACATGTTCTATTCAAATACTATAATAAATCTAAAGCGATATATAAAAGAAATTAAACAAATAAAAAGAAACAGTTTTACACAGACGATTCAGAGCCGCTTACCTAATGTGCATGCTCATAAACATTCTCCTCTATCCGAAACAGACAGGCGACAATATTTGTTGCTAATATGAAATACTTATTTCCTCGAATTTCATTACAGATATATTTCTCATTCAATTAATTCTTCAACATTTCATTCATTAATTAATTTCTCACTTTGCAGCATGGAAAAAATAATAAAAACACAAACCATCTTCATAAAATTTTTAAAATACAGAAAAACATAAAACACAAAATACAGTTAAAACAATAAAAAAAATTTTACAATTAAAATCAGAGTGTCAGTGCAAAAACAAGCAATTCGGCCAGCAGGTAAAAAGGCAGGTTTTTCGGTGCACAAAACTAAGTTTCCTTTTGGTACCACTCGGCAAAAAGACACTGAAGGTGTAGCAACTGACTTTATTGACGATTCCGCTAAGTTTCAAATGTAAAAGATATGGTTGCTTTTAAATTGCTGATAATTCTACAACTATTCCATGCAGATTAACTAAAGGCATAAAAACTTTAACCGGAACATAAAAACCACATAATTCAATTACCTTTAAAGCAAAAAATGTGCAATTTACCAACATATAAGAATAAAACAACTCATCTCACAGAGCCCAGTAACAGAGTGGGTATATATACATATATATGTGTGTGTGTGATATTATAATGCATAGTCATCAGGGCTGAATGGAAAGGTAAACAGGCGATGCCAACAAAAATGAATTTTGAAGATGTGCCAATCTTTATTTTCACTCATATGAAGCCATCTTAGTAGATATTTATCTAATCATAATGGATTACAATAATTTCTTACAATTCTAATGGATTACAATAATTTATATACACAGGTTAAGGGAGCGACATCATTTTAGACAAACAAGCAGAGTGGCGGGGATATCTTAGCAGTGGCGAAGCTAGGATAAGAATGACTAACTCACCAGCGGTATCTATACCAGAGTATACAAAATTGTAGAGACAATGTATGATTGGTTAATTTTAGTTTTAGTTAACTTTTTCAAGCTGTGTTATATAACATGGAAATATCATAAATTTGGGAGAACAGATGAATTTAGGGAAAGAGCACCAAATCAAGAATATTTAATTTTGAGGTCACCAATTATTCTTAATGCAGCTATCATACTTTGCTATATCTTGTGTGTGTATATATATATATATATATATATATATATATATATATACAGGGTGATCAAAAAGTCAGTATAAATTTGAAAACTTAATAAATCACGGAATAATGTAGATAGAGAGGTAAAAATTGACACACATACTTAGAATGACATGGGGTTTTATTAGAACCAAAAAAAAGTTCAAAAAATGTCCGACAGATTACTGTTATCGGGCCTTTTTTCTTCGAGGAAATGCGTGATTCTGGTTTTGTAACTGCTACCGTGACGAGTGAGAGGTACGCCCATATGTTACAGAATCGCATCGTCCCCAGCCTGGCTGATAAACACCTGCTGGAACGTATGTTTTTATGCAGGATGGTGCTCCACCCCATATTGCTAGACGCGTGAAAGATCTCTTGCGCGCGTCGTTTGGTGATGATCGTGTGCTCAGCCGCCACTTTCGTCATGCTTGGCCTCCCAGGTCCCCAGACCTCAGTCCATGCGATTATTGGCTTTGGGGTTACCTGAAGTCGCAAGTGTA